CTAATCAGTCTATGGGAAGTGATTGGCAGTAGGCGGTCTCTCAGGTACCCAGGTTCGATGCCATGAAGGGCTTTATAGGTAACGACCAGCGCCTTGAAGCGTATCCGGAGACTAATGGGAAACCAGTGCAGCTCGCGGGGGCTGGGTGTGACGCGGCTGTACCTGGGGGCACCCACGATCGCTCGCGCGGCTGCGTTCTGGACCAGCTGGAGTCTTCGAACACTCTTCAAGGGCAGCCCCATGTAGAGCGCGTTACAATAAGCAGTAAGCCTTGAATGCAGCAGTAGTCTTATCTGAAGGCTGCCATTGCAACTCCAAGCACCTTTGTGTCATTGTTGATTGTAAGGTACTTCTCTTTTCCATAATCTTCACATGAATATTGGAGATCGAGTGAGAAAATGAGCACTGCATTAATTTGCGCCTCAGATTGTACGGCAATGCCTAAATGTGGAGCAACAGTTATTTACACAGTGCGGTTTAATTATAGTAAATTTACCTAGTAAACAAGATTGTGAATATTCCTTTTCTTTAATCCCGGAGCATAAATACACCTGCTCTTGTTATTTGCTTGTGGGATATTCATGAGGCAAGATCCTTGGCTGCATCAGTCCGAGACATGTTTGTATTGTAAGGTATTCTTCGTAATAATGTAGAAGTCAGAATTATATCTAAGTGTGTATTGTGAAAAACCTTCCCTCTTTACTTGTCTTGCAGTTTCTCCACAGATTCTGTACAATCACCCCATACAATCTCTCCATGGCCTAAGGATGTGGGTATCCTTGCTCTGGAGGTTTATTTCCCATTCCAATATGTAGACCAAAGTGAGCTAGAGAAATATGATGGCGTAGATTCAGGGAAATACACCACAGGCCTAGGCCAGAAGCAGATGGGTTTCTGTGCTGCACATGAAGACATCAATTCCTTGTGCTTGACCGTTGTACAACATTTGGTAGAGCGAAACAATCTCGGCTGGGATTCTATTGGCCGCCTGGAAGTTGGAACAGAAACTATTATTGACAAATCCAAAGCTGTTAAGACTGTTCTGATGCAGCTCTTTCAGGATTCAGGAAACACAGACATTGAGGGCATTGACACAACCAATGCCTGCTATGGAGGTACAGCTTCTCTATTCAACTCTGCTAATTGGATGGAATCCAGCTCCTGGGATGGTAAGTGTTCACAGACTTTAGTTCAGTTCTTTTAGTGGTAGAACCAGTGGTGGGATTCAGCCGATTTGGGCTGGTTTCGGCAAACTGCTTGTTAAAATTCTGCCCAATCCCGCCCAGTCACTCCTCATCTTGTCTGCTCCCCTGGCATAGCTGCTGCTGCTGCTCCCCATCTGGCTCCCTCACTTGCCTCAACCACACAGTCTCTGAGGGTCAGACAGCTTGCCTGCNACGGCTCTGGCCCCCTCTCTGCCTCCGACACAGAGCCCTCATCCGAGCCTTCCCCAGACTCCAGGACTGTTCCAGGTTCCTCCCCAACCTCCTCACTCTCCGAATCTGTTGGCAGCTGGCATCTTTTCCTTAAAAACAGGAGGGGGCCAAAGTGCCAAATAGAAATCTTTTTTTGGCGGGGGGGATTCCTTGGTTAGCTCCTTGGGACCAATTGTGATCTGGAGGGAAAGAAAGAAATTTGGCTGTGATTTTCCTTCTCGGCTATTGTCCTTTTTCCTTGCTCTGTTTTGCATTTTGCTAGTTGCAAAACCAGCTTTGGATGAGGGCATGCGTTGATGGTCGGCGCCTGGTTCTCTCTCTCTCTCTCGGATTAAACGGCTAGGCACCCGCAAAAAACCAGCCCTTTTCCACCCCTCTCGAAATATGCCAGACGCCTGAAGGAAAAAAGTCAAAAAATGTCCTTTATTTGGTGGCAGAATCGGTTTCACGGAAATTGCACCCCAATTCCAAACGGTTCCTGCACAATTGCGCGCGGACACACCCAGAAGAGAAGGGAAGAAAACAAACTTGTGGTTTTAGACACACAAATAAAAGAGTTTGATCAACGGAGGAAAACCAGAGTTTGCTTCTCCCATCCTTTGTATCTTGTTAACCCTGCAAAATATGGCAGCTTTTCTCCCCTTTTAACTAGAAGGAGGGAGAGTGGAACAGTGACATTTTCAACCGATTGCAAAAATTAAGATCCGAGGCTGCTCCAGGTAGTCCTCGGCTTATTAACCGTTTGTTTAATGACGGTTCCAAGTTGAAAAAGGCCACCTGGGAGCTGTTTTTCACAGTGACGACCTTGGCAGCGTTCCCCCCAGGGTGACGTGAGCGGAATCCCGAGGAAACTGGCATGTACTTAACGACGGTTGCGGTGGTGTCCCGAGGGTCCCAGGAGTCCACCTTTTTGCACGCTTCCCACACGCCAAGACAACGGCGGGGAAGCTGGGTTCGCTGAACAACCGGGTTGCAGGCCTTCGCTTAACCACCGTGGCAAGGCATGTCGTAAAAACGGGACGCAGCTCACTTCGCCAAGGTCTCGCTTAGCAGCAGAAGATTTGGGGGCTCACGTGCGGTTATAAGTGGAGGACTCTCCATATTTATTTTCCATGTTCACCCCCAAAAAATGAGATGTAAGAGGGGGGGGGAAGGCATAGTGTCTTATGAAAGAGACAGAGACACTCACTCTTAATAGCTCCCACCTTTCTCTTTTTTTAAAAAACTATTTTATTTTATTTTATCAATTTCATGTATACATTCACAATTATATGATCTCATAACTGTTATTA